TTTCTCTGGTTCCTCTAGATGCCAAGAGTGGACAGAGCAGCCCCGGCACTCCCAAATCCCCCGGTAGCCAATCAAATTCTGCAAAGTCAGGGGCCGATGCCAACAAAGTGAAGAAGGTGGCTGTGGTTCGCTCCACCCCCAAATCCCCGGGCTCGCTGAAGACCCGTCCACCGGCTCCTCTGGCCGCCGCGGCGCCGCTGCCAGACCTGAAGAACGTCAGGTCCAAGATCGGCTCCACAGAAAACATGAAGCATCAGCCCGGAGGGGGAAAGGTAACCCGGGAAACACTCTGAACACAACCCCTCACAGAACACTGCCCACTGATCCACTGAGTTTGCAGATCAGAGTTTTAACATTCACGTGACCGAGTGGAGTCGTCTACGATCCAGGCGTATATTTCTATGTGCCAATGTGGGTTTCTAATCATAAAACCTTTTCCTGCCACAAATGTGTCCCTCTGTTTCTGCAGCGTTTCATTTTGGACTATTGGTGTATCGCGGATAGCCACAAAGCTGTTTTTAACATCATTTCTTCCTCTTTTAATCGCTGCATTGTGATTAAACGTGATGTTTTGCAATGGCTAACAGACCGAGAGCCTCGAGAGTCGTTCCAGTTACAAAAACGATCGAATCAGCTGATATTTCTGCACAATAACGTGATGAGATCAGGCAGGAAGTTCAGGTTTTGTCCAGGTTTCAGGTCTGAGAAGCACCTCTTAAAAACTGCAAATCAGTTTTGTGTAAAATCTGATGACCCCACTCGGTCATTTTACATGCTTGAGTTTTAATACCAACACAGAAGGCCCTGAACCCTTTGTTGTTCCTTCCACCTTCCTTTTCCCTGTCATGTTTGTTTCCAGAGTGGATTTGCTCATTTAGTTTGTTACTTGCTCCATTGTTACTTTTATTATTACATATAGGGCATTATTTCAGGGGACGGCAGCTATGAAGTGAATGAAGAACACACAGATTAACTAGTTAGTTTAACTTGAAGAGAAGAGCACAGACAGGTGTAATGGTGAAGATGTAAGGAGGATGTAGTGAAGGTAAGTGGAAAGAGAGGATGCTGGGATGTGTGGTGACCCTAAAAAGAGAAGAAGAAGAAGAAGAAGACTAGATGATGATGATTTGTCAGGGTGAGATTTCAGAAGTTCAGGTGTTACAAACACAAGTCAGGCAGCTTACTCACAATAATCCACACACCTCAGGTCTCAACAGACAAATACACTAAAGATTTTTTAATCAAGTTAGTTTTGATAAGGACACAATGTAACTTTTTAAAAAATAGATATTTTATTATTATTGTTATTTTTTTATTTCAATATTATTTAGCTCTAATCTTCCCGGGGCAACCTCTAAGAAATGTTTGTGGAAGTAAAACTCAGTGTGTCGAGTGTAGTCTGCAGTGTGATGTCGTTGTGTGTGTGTGTGTGTGACGCTAGAGGTTTATTTTAGCTAAAGCCGTGCAGGTCGTTGGTCTAATTTTATTCAGGGTGCAGTCACGTGTCCGATGTCTTACTGATGAAACTCAAAAGTATCACGTGTTGTGATATTTATGGACCAAAATAAATAATTCAGCTCCATTCAGTTCAAACTAGAAAGTCTTTATTCTGGTAGATGATAGAAGAGCTGAAAAATCAGTCTTTGTAAGTAAAGAAATGAGAAGAAGTGAAGACCAATGCACACTTTGAATTATCGACTCTCACCAACCCCGCATGCGGTCACACTCCCGCACGAGTTTCTTCCCACTTCTTTAATCAAATCAAGCCATCGTCTAAACTCTAAATCTAAAAACTGACATTTTCACTTTTCCAGGTACAAATCCTTGATCAGAAGTTGGACTTTAGTAATGTGCTGTCTAAGTGTGGCTCCAAAGACAATATCAAACATGTACCCGGTGGCGGCAATGTGAGTAACTGGGGGATGAACTCAACTCCAGACTCTTGAGTATCTCTGCAGTTATGACCATCAGAAACTAACTCCTGGTAAAAGCAAAGTGCTCTCCTCTAATGATCCGATCAGAAGGTGGACTGGATGGATGTGGAAACACAATCTGCTCAATAATCCGTAATTGGCATGGACTGCATATAAAAGATGGATGTAGCCACTGTGGCATCACTCACCCTGGTTGGCTGAGTCCCGTTTAACAGCTTCGAGCTGTTTGTTTTGGTCTTTGACGCCTTAGTTTTGGCTGAGAAACTGCGGTATGCAACGCAGCAGCGTCTTCCAGATGACAAGGAAGGACAGCCCTAGACGTAGCCACCAGTATAATCACGAGCTTTCTTTTCCAGTAACCGCTACTGGACTTTGTTGACAGTCCCAGAGGTATATGGTGCTGCACTGGAAACCACCTTTTTGTTGCTTTGGTCATTAGCAGATTGTCACCCATAGTTAGCATGAAAGACGGCAACTTGTCTGCACCAACCAGAAATGTTTTACCTTCAGAGTAAAAGTTGTCCTGCTGCTGCAACCAGCGTGTTTCAAAAGGCACAGCTTTTATTTTGAAACGGTTTGTGATGCACTTTTTCAAGTTTCGCGACGGCTCCACAAAGAGACAAGTCGGCGTCTACTGTGCAAACTGTGGGTGACTGCGGCGGTCTGCTAGCAACTAAAGCAATAACAAGGAGGTTGTGGGTGCAGAACCTTTTTTGCATCAGCCAGCAACCAGTTGGTGAATACACAGTTTTCTGTAACAACCAGGTGGTTGCCGGGTGGTTGCCAACTAGTCTCTACGCCTGTAAGACAGACCTAACAGACCAATCAAACTGCATTAGGAGACTGACGATGCTTTATGGCAAAATAAGCTCAAATCTGAGAAAAAATAAAATACGAAAAATAGCTGCTGAGTCCATTCAGTCGTAGGAATTGAGTTGCTACCACGTGATTGGCTAATTAGTTATTGCATTATGAGCAGCAGGACAGGTGTACCTAACAAAAACTGCTTTTGGCTACTACAGGAGTCGCCCCCTGCTGGACACAGAAAGAATGCAGGTTTAATTCAGTTCACTGTTCAGACCCAGAAGCTACGTCCATCATTTATATACAGTCTATGCACATAAGACTGAAGTTTTTATACGATTTTAATTCTTTCACTGAAAACTGGTGATGTTCTGAGCTAAAGCTGGCATCTTTAACATGATTATTGATTTGCTTTTAACACAGAAAAAAAAACACTGTTATATTGATCTATTTAACAAATAGCTCTGTCTCTCCCAGTTAACATTAACACAGCTAGAGCCTCCTCGAGTTCGTTATGTTGACAAATTTGAGCAATTAAAAAAAAAATTTTATACAATTTTTAGTATTTCTTTTTCATTTAAATAATTTTGTGAGTGCAGCGTATTTCCTTAGTTGCTTTTTGTTTTTTATTCATGTTTCTGTGTCTAAAAAGTTTTTTTACACTTAATTAAGTTTTAATTAACTTTAATATCTTTGCTAAAAACATCTGTTTGAAACTCTGCAGCTGCATTAAAACATCGCTATTTTTGCAATCTGCTCCACTAAAGTCGGCAGAAAACTGACGACTTCCTCAAAACATGACAAATATGCAGAGTTACAGATGGCAGCTTTAACGCCGAGATCTCTTTCACCATCTCACTTCCTCCTTTCGGGCTGACTCCCTCCCCCCAGCTGTTCTCCTTTTATTTCCTGAAGAATTTACTTGTTTTTTGTCTTGTTGCAGGTCAAAATCCTCGAGAAGAAGATGGACTTAAGTAACGTCCAATCTCGCTGCGGTTCTAAAGACAACCTAAAGCACACGCCTGGTGGAGGCAAGGTGAGAGAGACTGTAGCTTTAAAAGAAGTCCCACTAATTCCACAAAGGCACAAGCAAAGGGATTATTCACAAAGCCTGTTGCATCATTTACAAGTGCAGTTCATCTTGTTTTACAAAAAAAAGCAACTTCCTGTCATTACGGTACCGCACACCTGACCTCATCAGAATCAACTGATTATGCACTGAAATGTCACATGGACCCAAATACGCCAGGCTCCCCCTGCAGCCTCGCTGCTCTGTGACTCAAAGGGTTAACTGTCTCACCCTCACATGTGCACTTCTCCATCCAGACTGAAGGATTTCAGAGGTTTTCAGAGTCTGACGCGACTAAATCTACAACTTTATCAGTTCAAGTTCAAGCACATCCTGTCAATAAAAAGAGGAAATGTTGAATACATTTTTACAAATTCTGTAAAAAGAGCAGTCGTGGTAAATAATCTCGACCTTTTCCAAAGTACCTGTGATTATGATGCCAGAGATGGTGAGCGACATCCTCCACACCGTTACACCACCTCGTCCATCCTCAACCGTTCATGAGAGGCAGGATGGATCCGTGTTCATGGCGTTTATGCCAAATTCTGAATGTCGCAGCAGAGACTTCGGTCTTCTCTTGTCTAATTACAGTCCATCTGCCTCAAGGTTGGACGTGTTGTGCATTTAGAGAGTTCTCTGTGAACCCACAGATGGATGTGTGGGGAAAAGATGATTCTCAAATACTCCGCTAGCACCAACAACCACACCATGTTCAAAGTCCCTTAAATCACCTTTATTCCCCCCAGTCTGATGGCCTTTAGCGGGTCTTTCACCATGTCTACATGCCGCAATGCATCGGAGTCTTCTTCTTCTTCTTTGTGTTTAACGGCGGTTGGCAACCAACGTAAAGGAGCATTACCGCCTCCTACTGGTCCGGAGTATGGGTCAGACAGTGAGGTTACAATTCGTATCAAAAAAACCTATATCCTTCAGAAACCAGTTCCCTCACCTGTGCCCTACTACCCCCCAACACACTCTTCAGATTAAATACCCCAATTCCCCGCTCCTTCAATCTATTCTGCAGAACTTTCCTCCCCACATCATAACCCTTGCACCGCAGTATTACATGCTCTACCGTCTCCTCCTGGCACACTCCACAAAGCCCCGTCTCACGTTCTCCTATCATCTGTAGTGTTTTATTTAATGCACAATGTCCCAGTCTAAGCCTGGTAATGACCACCTCATCTCTCCAATGCATCGGGTTGCTGTCATGTGATTGGTTTTACTTCCTCCCTGTCTCGTTATGTCGGATTAGTCCCAGCTGTGTTTCCCGTTCCCTTGTTACCCCCTTGTGTATTTAAGCCCAGTGTTGTCCTCTCTGTGCTGTGTGATTCCTCCGTGCTCCTGGTTTTCTAGCCTCCCAGTGTTGACGGCTTAGTTTCCAGTTTCTATATTCAAGTTTGGGTTTGTTTTCCGTTTATTTTATGGATTATTTTTCCCAGAAAATAAAGCTGCTGCTTTGAGTCCGGTTTTCCGTCTGAGAGTCGTTTGGTTCTAACCGAGCCTGCCACACAGCATCAAACCATGACGGATACCTGCACTAAAAAAGTATCTGATGAGTGTTTAATGTCATATTCTTGCATTTATAACTGGTGCTGTCATCTCTCTGTGTATTTATCGATCTCTAATGAAAAGTCTCAACCCTGTACGGTCAAAGTCATCACAGGATTACCTTCAACTTTTTTCTGATTGTTTCATTTTTTTCAGTTTAGTGAAAATAAAATTAAAACCAGTTTTACTGCAGGTTAGAGTTGGAGTCATCTCCAATGATGACTTGGCCCTCAGAGGTGTAACTTGATGGTTCCTCCTGTACAGTTTGAAAACCTCTGAAATGCTTCACCTGATTGTAAAGGCTTCAAAGCACCAGTGCGGCGATGTGAGGACATCTCCTCACGAGGGTCTCGGTCAGCTCTCGCTCCCCCGAGCCTCAAACTCGTCCCTCCAACATCTAATCTTCCTCTCCAGTAATCTTTGCTTTCTCCGCCATAACTGTGTTTTTTTTCACCCCCATGTATCAACTTTCCAGGTGCAAATTCTCGATAAGAAGTTGGACTTGAGCAGTGTGCAGTCCCGGTGTGGCTCCAAAGATAATATAAAACATGTACCCGGTGGTGGCAATGTGAGTAGAGGCGTGCTTCCACTGAACGCATCCTCAGAAAGGAGCACAGATCCTCCCGTCTGTGTCCAGCCCTTCTGACCTCCCAAACGCTGACCTGTCAACTTCTCCCATTAACACTGAACTCGTGAACAGATCTGAGCATTTCATACTAGAACAGCACTAAACCGCCCTGCCAGCGCTTTTCTTTCACTGGTTTAGATGCTCCGTAGTTTCTAAATCAGAGTCTTCTTAGTTTAGTGGATCTACCGTGTGATGCAATGCTCTGCGATAACTCTGTTGAGTCTTTGCCCTCAAATCTGTCCCTGAAGCCACACGCATGAATCCTGTTTGTGGACGTTTTTATTTCCTAAAACCTTGATGTGAAGTGAACTAATTGTCCCCTCGAAGTGTCCCGATCGGGTAACAAAGAGCCCCGCTGTCCTCGGCTTCTCCACCAAACAGTGCCTGTTGTCGTCCACGCTGAGGTGACCTCAGCTCGCAGAGAGACTGAGCGCTCTGTGTTTGCAGACAAACAGCCAAGAGTGACATCATCTATCCATGCATGGTGATGCATGGCTGCTGAAATCTGGCTTTTATCAGTTAGTGCAGAAGATGGTCACTCGTTTTTCTGCACGGGGGTAAGGTCGCACCGCTCAGATTAAGACTTTAACTGTTAATCCAGTGTGTTAGTCAGTGCTGTTAATCTGTGTTTCCTTCTGTAACCCGGTTCCAGAAAGCAGGTTTTTATAGTCAAGTTTGTCGTAAATGTAATCACAGATTTATTAATACATATTTAAAAAATGATTGGTCATCGTGCAACAAGTGAAACCTTAAGTTTAAAGACTCCACACAATCCTCCATAAATCATCATCTGATTTCATTGACTGACTGAGTCGCTCTTATCTAAAAACAAAGGTGTTGATTCACTAAAAGCTCCCACGTTTAGAGACAGAGCTCCAACGCCACTTTAAAGTACGACTCAGACCTTAAACCTGCTTTCAGGAACAGTTTCACTAACAGGCCGGTTTTATAGGATCAGTTCCTCTGCGGCTGCATGCAGGGCGACTTCAGAGCTGCTGACTCTGCTGGTCTGCATTCAAACTCTGTCTGTGCTGTTTTTTTCCTCTCAGATTCAAATCGTGCACAAAAAGATCGATCTGAGCAACGTTACATCTAAGTGTGGCTCGAAGGACAACATTCGTCACAAGCCGGGTAAAACATTATTCCAACTTTCTGTTTGATTTTAGGTGACGAGCTTTTGTGAACAGAGTCTGTAATGATAATATAATTAGTAGAAGAAGTCTCCCCCACCTTCAGTGTAAATGCAATACCACAGGTAGTAATTTATGTTCAGGCCTCTGCTCTGAATACCATGAAAAGCATTAACCAAAGAAGCTGGGGTGGGTTGCAAAGCGGCTTGGAGAGCCGAACGGCAAACACTCAGTCTGCCTTTGTTATGTTTTTAAACAGTCAGCTGGTCACTGCTTGAAGGTCTCAGGCAGCTGTGATTATTAGTACATTAGTACAAGTTCTTCCACTTCTTTAATAATGGTGCTGCACTCAGATTATAATTTTTTTTTTTAGGTGGAGGAAACATTGAGATCAAAAACGAGAAGCTGGAGTTTAAAGTTCAGTCCAAAGTGGGCTCTCTGGGCAACATCAGCCACGTTCCTGGAGGCGGGCTGAAGAAGGTGAAGTACAAACCCACCGACGCGCTCTCTGCAGGCTAAAAGCAAAACGCTCAGGGCACCGTGGCGCTTCGTCACAGTTCTGTACGGAGATCAATCCGTGCCAAGAAAAAAATCGGAAAACAAACATTTTGATCTTCACTACATTCAAATTTCTACAAGCTTTTCCTCTTATTCCTCTTACAAGTTAAACATCAGATTTTTTGCATTTATTTGTTTACTGCTAATGCAGTTTAAATGCTGTATGGAAGACACTGGATCGCTCGTTGGAGGAAACGTGAAACTGATCGTAAAATAAAAATATTTAAAACTGAGACATAAAATTTGCAGCTAAAAACTTCAAAAGCATCATATTTACTAATGAAAAATAAATAAATTCTAGAACTGAAAGTACATAGATAATATACACATATAATTAAAGTTCAATTTAAATTAACTAAAGTTTGGCACCATTTGGCCTCAAGCATGTTTCAGTGCTCGGCTCTCTTCTTCGAAAACCAGCTTTCAGCTCCGTCTCTGTGGGTGAAACACAATCAGCAGCACAGAAACAGCAAAACCAAAACCAGCGAGAACATTTCAGCTGATCTCGAACGGCCACGCTGACGTC